TTATTAAAAATTTTTATTTCAGAGAGAGAGAGAGGGAGAGAAAGAATGAGTGGGGGGAGGGGCAGAGGGAGAGAAAGAATCCTTAAACAGACTCCCTGCCGAGCACGGAGCCCCACACAGACTTGATCCCAGAGATCATGACTCAGGCAGAAACCAAGATCCACTTAACTGACTAAGCCACCTAGGTGCCCCATATTGTGTGTGTGTGTGTGTGTGTGTGTGTGTGTGTGTTTTAAAGATTTATTTACTTGTGAGAGAGAAACACAAGTAGGAGAAGCAGAGGGAGAGAGAATCCCAAGCAGACTCCACATTGAGCCTGGAGCCTATGCTGGGCTTGATCCCATGACCCTAAGATCACGACCTGAACTGAAACCAAGAGTTGGATGCTCAACCGACTGCACTACCTAGGTGCCCCATGTGTGTGTTTAAAGTAAGCTCTACACCCAACATGGGACTTGAACTCATAACCCGAAAATCAAGAGTTGTGTGCTCTGCTAACTTAGCCAGCCAGGCTGCCCACCACCTTTTACCGTTGACGGGCATTTGGGTTATCCAGTTTTTGGTTATCGCAAGTATCAGAAAACATCGATAGGAACATTCTCGGGTATGTGTATCTTTGGGTGAACACAGGCACACATTTCTTTTGGATGAATTCCTGCATGTGGAATCCCTGGGTCATGAACTACACATATGTTCAGCTTCAGTGGACAGGGCCAATTTTCTGAGGTGGTTGTGCCAGTAATGCCTGAGTTCCTGTTGCTACACATTCTCAACTGTTGGCATTGTCTCTTTTTAGAACTTCAGGCACTCTGATGGATGTATGGTGGTACCTCATTGTACCTTTTTTTTTTTTTTTAAAGATTTTATTTATTTATTTGACAGAGATCACAAGTAGGCAGAGAGGCAGGCAGAGACAGAGGTGGGGAAGCAGGCTCCCTGCTGAGCAGAGAGCCCGATGTGGGGCTCGATCCCAGGAACCTGAGATCATGACCTGCGCCGAAGGCAGAACTTAACCCACTGAGCCACCCAGGTGCCCCACTTTTTTTTTTTTAAAGATTTATTTATTTAGAAGGGGAGAGAGTGAGCAGGAGGGGTAGAGGGAGAGGGAGAATCTCAAGCAGACACCCTTCTGAGCATGGAGCCCAATCCAGGGCTCAACCTCTTGACCCTGAGATCACAGCCTGAGCTGAAACCAAGTTGGACATTGAACCCACTGTGCCATCCAGGGGCCCCTCATTGTGGTGTTAATTTGAATTTCTGTTGACTAATGGAGAGAATGCTTTTTCATATATGCATTGGTCATGTTTTCATTTATTTACACAAATCGCATGAATACATCCTTGTTAGATATGACTATAAAAACGCATCTGAAGCTAAGATAACATGAAAAGCTGAAGTCCCCTTAAAACTGATCCCTTCCCCGGGTTTGAGCACTGGGCATGGAGTTTGGAGACCTGAATTCCAGACTTGATTTGTCATTGGCTTGTGTGAATTTGAATAAGTTCCCTTTCTGGGTCTGTCTCCCATCTTTACAATGAGTGTTGAGTGTTGAACTAGACATCTCTGAAGACCTCTTTGATATTCTGACCATTGTTTCTGTAGAGGTTACAAAACTTCACGTGGTGGGGAAGCGGTTTGGCCTTATCTCCATCCTACCCTTTTCCTTTCGTAACTGAACCCCTGAGTTTAGCTGAGCCCATGGTTGCCCCCCTAGACTCTAGCTCCCAACACCCCTTATACAACTAGGTGTGACCATGTGACTAAGGTCAGACAAGAACATATGGACAGAAGTGTTATGTGCAACTTTCGGGTTGTGACCTTACAAAGAAGCATCATGCCCTCCACTTGCCAATCTCCTCTTTTTGCTGACTGAAGAGAGGAGCTAATGGTGGGAACTGGACTTACCATCTATGACCACAAGATGGAAGCCAAGATGTGTTGAGGAGGACAGAACAAGGCAGGAACCAGGACCCAGCACACCATGTAGCTGACACGGTCTGGACTGCTTGGGGAGAAACATTTCCATCTTAACTATCATTATTTTCGCTTGTTATGACTACTGAATTTGAATCCTGACTAACACAGAGTAACTGGGGAATCACTTTAAATTGACCAGGTAGGGTTTTTGAGAAAGCAATGAGGAAGCCACAATCTTAGCAATAAAAAGGAGACTGCCACACAGATTTGGGGAAAAGGCATTCTAGGAAAAGGGGACCTGCAAGGCTTGGAAACTCCACCAGACTTCTGTGTAATGAGATAATGAGGCAGACCTGTCAATTATGGTGCCATATCTCACATGCCAAGGATTAACAGTGACTGAAGAGGCTGGTCATGTGACCTGAGCAGGGCCAGTCAGAGGCCTCCCAGACATTTGTCATGATGACAGGAAATGATCTTTCTTTGGGATTCTAAGTCATAAAGATCATGTGGCTGTCAAGTGGCAAAAGCCCATCTTAGAATAAAGCCAAGCTGAGACAAACATGTAAGAACTAGGAAGGGACCAGCCTCCATGACAGCTTATAGCCCTAGACCCCACCACACCTGATCTTGCTGAAGTCCAGTTATAAAGACAATCATTTCCTTTTTTTGCTACTGAATTGGATTTCTGCAACTTGCAAAATACATGGAATGACAGAATATGGGGTATGGCAACTCACAGGCCCTAATTCATGGAACCAGCAGAGTCCATGTGGGGTATGGGGCAGGTCAGGATTCCTCCTTTCCTAGTTGGGAAATTGGTAGTAAAGTGGTGGTTAAAATGCCTGTTTGTTGAGACCCTCAGCCGTATGCCCACCGAGGCTATAGTTTTAGGGGTCATAGTAAAAAAGTAAGGTCGGTGGAACTTAATGGCTATTTGTTGTGGCCTCCAGAAAGGTCTTAATAGACACAGACAAGCTACTGTCTAAGCAGGCACATCACAGGGAAATAGTCAAGTCTCACTGAGAGGCCCTGAATGCTCCCCAGTTGTCTGTGATGCTTGGAATTCTGAGAACATGCCTTGCCAATTGCGGAAGCTGTGTTCTCTCTGCACAAGCATAAATTTACCACTAGTGAGAAGAAGGCACGCAGCAGGAGACAGGGACTGAGGAGGAACTAGATCCCCCAGGACCGCCCACACCCTTCCAGCTTGCCTGCCTGGCCATTGTCTCTGTACACAAAACAGGGGGCTGGAACACGGACTGGCATCACCAGTGACAAATCCAGACTCCAGAGGGCGCCACGTCACACAGACCATGATGCCTGAGGTATTTCAGCCCTTGGTATACCGCATTGTAACAGCATCATGTTAGGTCCCTAATTTGGCAACTGTTTATTGGGAGATGGTATGGCACAGTGGTTAAGTGTAGAGGCCTTGAAGTTGAACTATGTGGGTTCAAATCCTAGCTCTGATGGCTCAGTGACAGGGTTCTAGACCCATTTCTGCCATAAACTAGTTGAGGGGCCTTAGGTGAGTCATAAGCTCTCTAGATACAGCTCCCTCATTGCACACCCAGGCTAAATTTAGGACTCCCACTCTACCCTCTCTTCCAAGCCTTCCCATCTTAGTATATGTCCTACCAGCCACCAGGACTCAAGTCAAGTTCATCCTTCCCATCTAATCTACCTCCTCCCACCCTAAAGTCACCGCTCGAGTCCAGGTTACACATTTTCCCATCTGCACTTCGCCAGTGCTGTCAAATGTTTTCATAAAACACAAAATCAAAGCGAGTCGTTCCACTGCTTAAAATCCTTCAAATGGCTTTTCTCTTGGAATAAAATCTGGAAAGGCTCCCCATCTTCCATAAACATGGCTTTTGAGCCCTGCCTGGTTTGGGCCTGGTCTCTCTCCCTTTCCAGTTCAGGCCATCTCTTCCTTCATCCTTCACTCTGCTGCAGCCACATCTGCTTTGTGTTCTTCCAGCTCATTCTAGAGAGTTCCCTCTGCCAGGAATGCTCTTAGCTTGGCTGCTCATCCCTCAGGTCAAGGCTTAAATGACAGCCTCTCAGGGAAGCATTTTCTGATCCTTCAAACCCAGTCAGGTCCTGGTTACCTCCTTCATAGCACCTGTCATCCTGTCACTGGTGACACAATCTGCCTCCTGGCTCTCCTCAGGGAGACTCCTCCTCAGTCCACTTAACATTTACTTCTGGGCGTCTGGTCACATGCAGCTTTCTGCCTCCCGTGGGGTTTATACCTAAAGAGCAAGGTCTGTCTCCTGTCTCTTTACGCCTACAAGAACCAGGCTGCACATTACCTTGGCAATGATGAGTCTGGGATGGCCCTGAAGAATCTTCCCTTCCACACTAACCAAAAATGAGCTCAGGGACCAGGGGACCGAAGGGCCAGGAGACAAGAAGCTAAGAAGCTAACATGACCGAACATTCTGGTCTGGTCAGAGCCCTGAGGCCCATCAGTGGCTCATCTCCAATTAGTGTTGGGCCTCCAGGTGGGAGTTCCAGGCTCAGGCTCCTTGGAAGGTGAAGCTTTATGCCTCTTCAAGCCCTGATTTTGACTGGCTACCTCCCCAAATGCTGAGGACAGGGTGAGACCAGGTCCCCAGTCAGCTGCAACTCTGAGGAAGACAACAGGGAGTCAGAGGGGACTGGTCTCACTAGAGGAGCTCTGCTGGGGGTTAAGAATTCTACATTTTAAAATGGGTGGTACTGCTTAAGGTCGGACTTGAGCTTGCTTTGGCCCTAGATTTGGGATTTGTCACTCTGCAGGTGGACCCTTTAGGTAGGGCCTTAACTTTTACTACGGGAGACATGATGTGAGTCTTGGAAGAAAGCACTCATCCAGGGGCTCAAGCCAGAAACCCATGAGGCCATCCTTGTTTCTTCCTGTTCCCTGGACTTAACAGTTCAGGCAAAACTTGCTCATTCTGGCTCCAGAACATATCCTGAATACATCTACTTCCTCCTGTCCCCACTGCCACCCCAGTCCAGGCCACTGTTGATGCTCTGTGGGGTCTCCAAGAGCCTCCCAACCAGTCTCTTTCTTGCTTACCCTTCCCTTTTCACACAGCAGCAGAGCGTGAAAAAGTGGAACACACATAACTTCTAGTTAAGAATCCTGCAGATCGCTTTCTACCCAATGCCAAGACCGAGCTTCCTACAGGTAGGCCTGCAGAGCCTACCGTTCCAACCTCCAGTCCTATCAACCCCCCTCTGCTTCCTCACCCCGCTCCCAGAAGCTCTGCCAAGCTCCTCCCACCACAGGACCTTTGCACAGTTTGTGTCATTCTTGTGGCTTCTTCTGCCTTTCCCTCTGCTTTCTGGAAGGATCCTTTCTTGTCCCTCAACCTCAGAGAGGGCTTCTGGACCATCCTCTCAAGAGACACCCTTGGTTGGTTATTCTGTCAAGCCCCTTTCTTTCCCTCAAAGCACGAATTACAATTTGTAATTGCTTTGTTTTATTGTCATCTGTCTTCCTGTTCTCCCTGCTGTGATTCCACACAGACAGACAGGCTGAGATCCATCCTGCTATATCCCAGTACCTAGCACTGTGTCGAGGCCCCGAGCAGATGTTCTCAAAAATTCTCTTCAACAGAAAAGCCTTTCTGGCTTCTAGTTCTCCAACAGTCAGGAACTCTCTACTTGCTTCTCAATTTTGATCCTCAGGCAACGTTTCTGCTCACTAACAAGTAACTCTTCTTTGGGTCTATGGCTGAGAACAGAATAGGAGAGCTCAGGCAGCCTGCCAACATGGGCCTGTGTGGGAATCACCTTCCAGTGGAATCGAGGCACATCTCAACTCTAAACCTGGAGATGTCATTCTAGGCCTCTGTCCCGGTGCCCAGCTCTGGTGCCAGAGGCCTCGGGGTTTCTGGAGCTTTTTATGATACAAGATGCCACTTGCTCTCCTCTACCCCAATGCTCCAAGCCCCTCTGTGAGGCCCCACCAAGTCTGAGCCCTTACCTCCTGGCGGCTTTCAAGCTGAGGCCACACCAAAAGGAGGAGCTGGGGTAGTGGAGGTGAGCCTCAGGGCTGATCCAGGGGAGGGATGGGGAAGGCTGGGGGAGCCCGGGAGGCTCGCGTGGTGAGAGGGCGCAGGTTGGCAGAAAGCCCCCCGGGCTGCTGGGCGCTGGCCAGCACGTGAGTAGGAAGAGGGTGTGAGGGCACAGTTCTAAAGCAGCATTTACTTTGGTTTTCACATCTCCAATGCCCCAGGACCTTTGAAAAGTTCTAGCTATTGGTCTTGTGCACGGCCGCCATCACTCCTCCTTCAGCCACTGCAACAGCTGAGGCGTGTAGTAGGTGATGATGATGTCGGCACCTGTGGGGGGACAGAAGCAGGAAGCGGGGAGGGGCCGGGCATCAGCTCTGGGCACACCTTCAGGGAGTCCAGGGCCAAGGAGGGGGCAGGCGGCTACCACGAAGAGGCACAGCCCATGGGCGTCACAATGTTAAGGCTGAGCCCGCATGCTGTGTGACCCTGGGCAGGTCATTCTCTCTTGCTGGGCCTCAGTTTGCCAATGTATAAAACACAGAGTGGGAGGAATGAGTACGTCGTTAAGGGCCCTTCCCGTGCTGCGTGCACGCCACCACCACCGGCTCCTGTCTGTGGAGTGATGAGCATATGCCCGTAACACGTATCATCACCCGCAGTTCTCCAGACAACACGCCTTGGCTATTCGATCCCCGGTTTGCAGACAAGGACACTGAGTGCACGCAGCTGGCTTGGCTACGGTCTCAACACCAAAAAAGTCACCGAGGGCTCTGCTTTCTTCACTGCTACACGTTTGCTCCTGCAGCTCCACGGCCCCTCCTGGTATTTCCAGGCACAAGACTCCAGGCTGTCTCATGACTTTATTTCCCCACAAAGTGCCCATCAGCCCCATGACACGGGTCAGAAAACCCCGGCCAGCCTGTTTACCTGCGCGGCGGAAGGCGGTCATGGCCTCCAGAACAGCAGCCTTGAGATCAAACGCCCCGGCCCGGGCTCCGTGCCACAGCATGGCGAACTCTCCAGAAACGTGGTACACGGCAAGAGGGAGCTCAGGGTGCTGCCGAAAAGCAGGGGTGGGCGGACAGGTGTAATCTCCGGAGTGTCCCTTCCACCTTGCCCAACCTGTGAGCCTCTGGGGCCCCGTGCTCGGTGTCACTACTGTTGGCAGCCAGGCCCAGTGTTGTTTTTTGTTTTTTTTTTTTTTAAAGATTTATTTATTTAGAGAGGGGTAGGGGCAGAGGGAGAGAGAGAATCCCAAGCAGACTCCCCGCTGAGTGCGGAGCCCAATGCTCAATCCACTCTCTTGAGACCATGACCCGAGCCAAAACGAAGAATCAGATGCTCAACCGACTGAGTCCCCCAGGTGCTCCAGGCCTCCCCACTCTTGAACTGGGAAAGCCCAGTGGCTCAAAGGCTCTGGCCAGCCCTGGGGCAGATGCCCATGGTGGTTCCTGGGCAGGGATGCGGTGATAGGATTCCTGCTCAGGAGCCCAGGGAGTCTGTGGTCTCTGAGTCTGAGACACCAGAGCCTGTGGACAAACGCACTCCTCTCCCTGGGCCCCGGCTTCTCTCTGCTCTGCCTGCTCACCTTGTCCTTCACCTCCCGCACGATGTCCAGGTAGGGCATTCCGGGCTTCACCATGAGCATGTCGGCTCCTTCCCGTACGTCCCGGGCCTAAGGGTTGAAATACTGTGTAGGGAGCGCCCAGGAGGCAAGATGGGAATGGCCCAGCCAGTGGGCTCAAGCCCTGGTCACTCACCACTGCTCGGAGGGCCAGGCCTCGTGCTCCCGGTGGCAGCTGGTAGCAGCGGCGGTCTCCAAAAGCTGGGCTGGACTGAGCCGCGTCCCTGGGAAGAGGAGGCATCAGCAAGGGGGCGGGAGGCGGGGGGGCTCCAGCTTTGGGCGAGTGGGTGAGGGGCTTGAAAGCAGACCCCTGCCAATCCCCACTCACCGGAAAGGTCCGTAGAAACAGGATGCAAATTTGGCACTATAGCTCATCACTGATACCTATGGGGAGACAACGGGGGTCAAGGTTCAGACATCCCAGGGTGGAGGGACAGGGAGAGGAAGGTTGTACGCTGGGAAGCAGAAGGCCTGTGGTCTAGTCCCATTAAAGCTCTGGGCCTTGATTTTCCTATGTGAGGTGCGGAGGTTGAGATGGATCTCAAAGACCCCGTCCAGGGCTGTTTTCACTTCCGTGACTCTAGGCAGGCATAGGGGCAGGGATGGTCCAGACTCTCTCTGTGCCTCCCCCCCGACCCCTTGCCACACTCCCCGCCCCTACCCTGTTGCCAAGTCCATGGGCCATCAGGGCCTCCTTGATGGCTTCCACGCGTCCATCCATCATGTCCGACGGGGCGACCACCTGACATCCTGAGGGGAAGCGGGTGGCCTTCAGAACCCCGGGAGCCTGCTATCCACTCTGACCCGGAGTTCCTCCTCTCTGCCCATGGCTCACTCACCTGCCTTGGCGTAGGCCAGTGCCACTTCTGCCAGCCGCTGGCGGCTCTCCTCTGCCTGGAATGCCCCATTCTTGCTCAGCAGCCCTGCAGGACAGACAGCTGGCTTTGGGGGAGAATCTCAGTCCCTGGCCCATCCCCCCCAGAGGAGGACTAGGCGGGGTGGGGGGTGCAGAGAGGGAGCTCACCACAGTGGCCATGAGAGGTGTAGGGGCACAAGCAGACATCGCAGGCCACCAGGAGGCTGGGGAAGGTCTTGCGCAACAGGCGGATGGCTTCGATAGCCGGGGAGTCCTCAGAGTCGGCTGCAGAACCCCGCTCATCCTAGTGGCAGGGGAAGGACAAAGAGGTACGTCTGCTATGTGAGGCCCTAGAAAAGCAGGAGCCAGACCTCACGGAGGCCAGCTTCCTGCACAAGGACGCAGTAAGGACTGTCCCCATTTTGCACAGGGCACTTGACCTGTCCAGTCAGGGTGTCACACCCCTACTTAGCTTTTTGTCCCTACACGGGTGCTGTCATCAGGCAGGGGCCATGTCCCCTCACCCATGCCCCAGGGCTAGCACAAGGCTGTAATGAGGCCACTGTCCATGCGTGAGCTCAGCTCACCCTCACCCGACCCTCCCTGTCTTCCCCTCGAACTCTGCTTCTGATTCTCCACCTTGGGGACCCTGCTGGGGACTCCAAAGACCAGGACGCAGCGCAGGCCCTCTTCTACCAGGGGCTTCAGCATCTCTTCCAGCCGGTTCACCCCATACCTGTGTGGAGGGGGAGCAGAGGGGCTGAAATGAAGCAGGTGGCAGGCAAGGCTCCCCGCACCTCATCACCCCCCACGCTGTTAAGAGCCAAGTTGCACACGGCACCAGGAGGGCTCAAGTCTCACAGTACAGAGACGGGTGGGAATGCACCCACCAAACAGATGGGAAAACTGAGGCCCCCAGAAGCAGAGCTATGGAACTTAGCTGTGTAAGGTTCTTACTGAACTCCCATTTGCAGCTCGGCTCTCCTTTGCAAGGGACTCTGCTATGACATCTCTGGTGATGAATGGGTAGCTCATTCCTTTATGTGGCTGTGACCCTGAGAAAACTCTTTTCTCTAAGGAGCTCAAGTGAGCTTCTCCAGATCTTCTACCTCTTGGGTCTGCTTCCTGGCACCTCCAGTGGGAACTCTCTCCCTCCATCCTCCCCTGGCCCTCCCCACCACATCTCCTACCTGGCCACTCCTGGGAGGCTGTCGATGGGCTGTACATCATCAGGAACGTCCCTGCAAGAGCGGGGGGGTAGGGGTGGGCTATGGACTGGAAGCTGTGGGAAGGGCCAGTGGTGAGGGAGTGACTGGGAGAGATGGCTGGGGAGATGGGAAGGTGGATGGAGGGAGGAAGTTGGGGTCCAGTGTCTGGTTCCCTGCCTGGCCAAGCCCAGGGCCTGAAATAATAGGAACAACAAGAGTGACAGTGACAACAGAGGCAACAGGACTAAAAGAACACTAATCATATGAAGGAGTCAAGTGGCTACGGACTTGGGGTTCTGAAGTCAGAAGGCCCTCTTTGCCTGCGATCCCAGCCACTTGCTGGCTGGGTGACCCTGGCCAAGTTGTACCATCTCTTTGAGCCTCAGGCCCTTCATCTGTCTTTGGATGGGTTCGTTCATTCATTCAACGAATGCTGAGCGCTTATGATGCACAGGTACTATTTACTCTCTGGAGACACAAAGTGAACAAAATAGACAAATCCCTGCCCTCGTGGAGAGGACAGTCTAGGGGACACTATCCATACTTTCTTCCCATGACAACTGTCAGGACTGAAAGAGAGAATCCACGTACGCTGCTTAGCACAGTACTCGGTATACAGCAAGCGCTCAATGTCAGCCACTGCTATTATGAATAATCATGACTGCCGCCGTGGGCACGTACATAGCTCTTTGCAATCTACAGAACGCCTTCTCAGTTTCTGTCTTCTCGCAAAAGCTCAGGATGGCAGGCCAGGGTTACAATCCTTATTTTTTAAACAGGAAGACTTGAGATCTCTTCAAGGTTTGTTTTGGTTCTGAAGACTGTTGTCCTGAACACTCTCTCTCTCTCTCTCTCTCTCTCTCTCTCTCACACACACACACACACACACACACACACACACACACACACACCCCTGGCAGATCAGAGGCCTGGACCATTCCTGGGGACTCACGTGACAAAGATGGGGTAGATGAGATTGGAGGCACTGAGGGGTGTGGCGGCTGCCTGCCAGGTGCGAAGCAGTGGGTGGAAGTAGCCGCTGTGCAGAACTGATTGGGGCTGCATGGCGGACAGGGGCAACGCGGAGGCAGGCTGCTGGGCACTGTGGGCTCCTGGGGCGTCGGCTGCACGCTCAGCTCTGGGGTGAGGGGGCAGAGAGCAACAAGAGGCATGTGAGACACGGCCCCTGTCCCCAGGAGATGGTCCCATACCCAGCCTGTGCTCCTCCCAACTCCTGTCTCCACCGCTCTCTGGCCAGCGCTGGCCAATCCCTGCTGGTCTGTGACAAGGTTAAGTAGAGGAAGGGACATAGGCCCTTCTGGAAACTTTCTTAGCTATCAGAATCAAATAATCTAAGATTTTAGCTTGTACTTTTGATGGTCTCTTTTTCTAAAATGACATTTCTCTAGCAATTCAATACATTTTTATTTTTTTATTTTTTAAAATGATTTCATTTATTTATTTGACAGAGAGAGAGAGAGATCACAAGTAGACAGACAGGCAGGCAGAGACAGAAGGGGAAGCAGGCTCCCCACTGAGCAGAGAGTTCAATGTGGGGCTCAATCCCAGGACCCTGAGATCATGACCTGGGCTGAAGGCAGAGGCTTAACCCACTGAGCCACCCAGGTGCCCCAATACATTTTTTTTTTTTTTAAGATTTTATTTATTTGACAGAGAGAGAGCCAGTGAGAGCAGGAACACAAGCAGGAGGAGTGGGAGAGGGAGAAGCAGGCTTCCTGCTGAGCAGGGAGCCCAATGTGGGGCTAGATCCCAGGACCCTGGGATCAGGACCTGAGCCAAAGGCAGATGCTTAACTGACTGTGTCACCCAGTCGCCCCTAATACAACTTAAAAAAAATATTCTATCAAAAAAAATCGATCTGTGATGGGTTAGAAATTAGTATGAGAAGCTGACACTTAAACTTTGTTCATTCCATGAAAAATGTGTGTGTGCTTGGCAGGAATTTTAGATAAGGAGCAAGAGAAAAATCGCCGGTAATTCTACCTCTAGAGAAAAGCACTGTTAACACCTGGTACAGAGACTTCTTGTACCGCACAACACACACTAAGAGGATTAAATAGCACGGGGCCTGACAGACAGAGACAGACAGACCCCCTACAGGGGGACCACAGGCAGGTTTTTTCCAGCCTGAGTGCCCCCTGCCGCTCCCCAAGCACCAGCCACACTTGGCCACTCTCTGGTTTGCCCTCCCCCCACGCCCTTTATCCAAAAGGTTCATGCTCGCCTCACCACCTCCTCACCCCTAACTCCTATCTGGTGCCCCCTTCCCTCTCCTGCTGAAGCTTCTCTTGCCCAGATCATAATCTCTCTTACATAACAGCTCTCTGTGCTGCAGCATTGGTGGTATAGAGGTGAGCATAGTTGCCTTCCATAACAGCTCTCTGTGGATGCATTTCAGCTCATTCCAGGAGACAGAGCTTCTACGGGGCATGGTCCGCAGTGAGCTCATTCCTGGACTCCCCTGCCCCCCAACCCTGCCTGCGGGGTAAATATTTAACTACATGAAGTACAAGACAATGCACCCTAAGTGCCAAACAAGCGAATGTAAGACAGAAGGAAGCTGGGGCGTGCACGTGTTTCTTGAGCACCTACTGCATGCCAGGCCCTGCCAGGCACCGGTGCACGCGAGTTCGAGGCCCTACCCGCCCGGGCAGGTAGGGCTGCTGGAGGCTGTCTCAGACAGGAGCTGCCCCAAGTGAACCATGAGTCCCAAGGCAAGTTTGGAGGTTGGAAGAAGCTTGTTGGATGAAGGCCGGGTATGGGAGGGGTGGCTTCAACTTTGTTTCTCAGATGAGTGGGTTCAGCTTGGCAGAGGAAAAGGGGAGAGTGTTCCCTCAGGAAGGGAAGAAAGGGGGCCAAGCTGAAGGAGGAACAGGCCGTGGGCTACTGTGAGGACTGAGGAGGCAAAGGTGATGTGTGTACCAGGGAGGGAGGGGGACAAGAGGAGGCCAGACTTGAGGACAGGGAAGATGAGGAGGGGGTGGGGGAGTGGCCTGCTCAGGGCCTGGCTTTAGGAAGATAATTTTGCAGGCAGAGCAGAGCTGAGCCAAGGAGCACAGACACTCGAGCAGGAGTGGGGAGGGGAGGAAAGGGAAGGGCCATCGTAAGGCAGCCAAGAGGCAGTCTCTTGGGGCAGAGGCTCTGAGCTTGTGTGACCCAGAGGGCAATGGAGACAGAGACAAGGCAGGAAGAGGGTGGTTGGGAGCTGAGCTTCTGGAGGTGCCTGGGGAGATACCCAGTAGCCAAGTAGGGGGGGAAAGGAGCCACCGGTGTCTCCTTGTATGAATGGGACCTCAAGGCAAGGACTTATTCGAGGTTACACTTAGTGAGTTAAGAGGCTAAAACAGCAGGCCTGTGAGCCTGATGTGTCATCTCCCAGGCAGGGAGTGGGGAATGGGGGTCCCCTAGCACACTGATAAGGCCTTTCTCTCCAGTCTCTCGGGCCCCTTTAGCGCCCTCCCAAGCAGCTCAGGAGCCCATTTTTATCCATCCTCCTCCTTGGCAGGGTTGGTGTTATCAGGAGACACACAGGGACCCACCCTCCTACCACACCCCCCTCCCGGCGCCAGCCACATCATCTGACACAGAGGCAAGTCAGGCCTCCCCAAAGGGGTCTCAACCCCCAGATGAGTGCCCAGTTTGTGCAAGGTTGGTGGTCGGGTCTGCTAGGGTTAGCTCAGCTCAGAGAGGTTAAGTCCTTTGCCCAAGACCACACAGTTGGTGAGCAAACGAGCCCGAAATTGAGTACAGGGTCTTATCTATCATCCCCCATAATCCTGATGAACACTTGGTTCCACAAGCATCTCTCTACCTCTATTATCCGCCTTGTGGGTGGGAGAGATGGAGAATACACGAGAGAAAAATATACTGTGACATTATGTGCTGGGCACTGGGCTAGGTACTTTTAGATTTTATTAATCAATTAATTTTATTTATGTGGCAGAGATCACAAGTAGGCAGAGAGGCAGGCAGAGAGAGGAAGGGAAGCAGGCTCCCTGCTGAGCAGAGAGCCCGATGTGGGGCTCAATCCCAGGACCCTGGGATCATGACCTGAGCGGAAGGCAGAGGCTTAACCCACTGAGCCACCCAGATGCCCCAGGACTAGGTACTTTTATATGTATTATCTCATTTCACTGCAGAGACCGTTCCAACTTTCAGTGATAAGGAAATGGAGGCTCTGAGAAGTTAAGTGACTTGCTCCATGTCATTCTGGAGAGTCAAGTTGGATTTTGAACATGCCTCTGATTTACTTCCTGGAGAACAACCTTTATAGCAGGACCCTGGCTTCTGGAATCCAAAGCTGCATTCTAGTGGCCTCAGCTCCCCATCTGTTTTAGAAGGCTGGGCAAGCACAGGCCTCCTGCTTATCAGAAGCAGCAGAACAGGGCTGCCTAGGAGCTACGAAGCCCCAATTTTACCATGGGGGTGGGAGGGGGGCAAGGGAGAAGGGTGAGAGTGAGAAGGAGGCTTGATTAGGGCAATTCTACTTGCATCTGTTTAATTTTAGGGTTTAGGGAGAGATCTGCTTTGAGAAACGGGTGTCAGTGCTGAGAAAAATTTTAAAACGTTGAAATTCACCAATCCTGTTCATCTCTTAGATTTTCAAGTGGAAAATGAGGTGCAGAGAGGCAACAGGACTTGTTTGACATTGAGCGGTCAGTCGGGTGCAGAGCTGGCCTTGACCGTGAGTCTCCTGCCTTCTAGTCCAGTGCCCTGTCACCTCTACCACACATAGTCATTCTGTTACAACAGGCACTTAATAAGTAAAATAAATAAAACGGCCCCGAGCCAGAGATACCTGTTTGCAGAGCCAAATCCACGCCAAGGCTCTGCTCTGCAAACAGTCCCTCAAGACTGGGAGATTTCCACACACTTGGGTTCGGGGGGCATTTCTTCCAAGTTAAGGGAGCCTCAAAAGCCACAATCCTGTGATACCTCACTGAAGACAGCAGCAAGTCACCATGGGACCCAGCACCTATGCTCACCCACATGAGAACAGGTTAGCTTAGCTGGAAGGCAGGACAGGGCGGTGCAGAAAGAACCTTATTTCGGGGTCACACAATCCCACGTCTTTTCTGTGCTGTGTGACTTTGGGCAAGGCTGCTGGCCTTTCAGAATCTTTATTTCATAATCTATAAAATGGGAATGATATTATCAACTTGCAAAGCTGCGGAAATCAGATGAGAGATAGGAGGTACGTGCCTGGCATCAGGTAGCAGCCCAGTGAACATGTAGCTACTTTTATCACAAGGAGCAGAAGGGAGCTGGAAATATCACCCCCTACCCCAAGTCCACACAGCTGTGCCTTCTGCTCCACTCCCAGGAGGGAGAACTTTCACTCAAACCTGCGCCGCCGCAGGGTCTTCCCAGATATCTCAGGTGGGGTCCCTGCCTTCCAGCAGCTTCTGTGGTGAGAACTAATCTGGATAGATGCAGAGGCAGAGGGGTGGACTAGATGCTATCTATGGGAGGGGCCTGTGTCTCCATGGATCAAGCATGGCTTCGTGAGAGAGGCAGGTGTGCAGAGTGATTATGAAGGTATCTCCTTCCTTAAAAGGCAACTTCCCAAATCTGGGAGTATATACGTTGGGCCCCAAGAGCTGCCATTGTGGGAAGGAGGGTTAGAAGGAGCTGCAAGGCATGAACGACATCCCCCCCCCCACCACCACCACTATCATGCTGTGCCCTGCTGAGGATTTCAGAGGCTGTGCTCTTGGTGCAGACAGCTGGGAGCTGCTGCCAGCTCTGGAAGGCCCAGCTGCTAGCTGGGGAGGAGGCAGTCAGGAGGGCCACCTATGGTAGAAGGTGACCAGGGCTGAGAAATCCAACGCCCCAGAAGGGCCCAGGATAGCAGCTGTCAGGCAGTTCTGAAAGTTCTGAAAGGGGACCAACTAACTTCCTGAATCTCTACCCTGGGTCTGCTCCAATGCTAGATACAGGGGTTAAAGAGAAGCACGAGACCCAGGCCTTCACCTAGGGCTTTGAAGAGCCCAACCTTTTCTGGGTTTAGCCATCTGGAGCTCTAGGGAGAATCTGCCAGTTCCAGACCCCTAGAGCATCTTGGCTAAGAGGATCCTTACAGTTTGTTGATTACATCATTGAAATTGATGGTGAAACTGGTCTCAGAGAAAGGCAGACACTAGCTCAAGATCAGGCAAGAGGTCAGCAGCAGATCTGGGGCTAGAATCAGGGTCTTCAGAAGCCCAGTTCTCGGTACCCACCTTGATACTTCAAGTAGATTTCAAAGCTGTGCTTACCAGCAGAGGTGGGCTTGTGGAGAACTCTGGCTGAAAGGGGGGTAGGCGAGGAAGGAAATAGAATGTTGACTCTGGACTTGGCTGCAACTGGCAGCCTGATGGCTAAGCGTATACATAGGTTTTGGACTCTGCAGACGTGTGTTCAAATCCTGATTCTGTCACTTTCTGGCTGAGCGATCTCAGTTTCTGCACCTGGTAAATGGCGACTTGAACGGACCTCAAGGTCTGTTGTAGACTTAATAGGCCAATGGATGTGACCTTTGTTTAAGTCTAGCACAAACTGGCTGTTACTGCCTCCACTTCCCTCCCCCGTCCTTCGAGGCACTTTGGGCTCTGTACTGATGGAGAATGCCCTAGGCGTCTCCAAGGGAGTGGACCCCAGAGAGGGGAGGCAGAGCCCAGAGCCGAGCCCCCAAACGTACAGCTACGCGGGGACCCCAATCCCGGCTGCAGCAGGGCAATCTAAGACTCCAAACGGGGGCTCCACAAGGACTCTGTCCCCGGCTACACCGCCGGCGCTTCAGGCGCGCACGGCACGTTGGGACCTGGGGACAAGGGACTCTTGGTGCCACAGTCCCCTCCTCCAAGTCCGCCATCTCCCCGAGTCCGCTCCCCACTCACCTGGTTCCTCAAGGGCTCCGAGCTGCTGCTCCCGCCACCACCGCAGCGCGTTCTACTCTCCCGGGGCCCACGTGGGGGCGGGGCGGCTCACCCGGAAACAGCTCCCCCCCCTTGCAGCCCGCCCCGACCGGCGTGCAAGCCACACCCCCTGCGGGCACTTTGCCTGCGGGCTGGTCAACTCGGGCCGCGGCTCCGCCCACGCCCCCTCGAGGCCTGGCCAATCGGGTGTGTGGAAGGGCGGGCGGGTCCGCGCCCAGCCCCTCTAGGGGCCAGAACTTGAGCCGCAGAAGGCCCACCCGAGCCCACGTTGGGGCGCAGGGGCGTTGCGGGGGGGGTGGTCCCTGTGAGTCTGGCTCCTAGGCGATTACACTCTTTGGCGTCCTCCTTTTCCCAGCCTAGCGCATACTTGGCGGTGGTTAATTGTTGAAAGAATAATCGGGTGTCAAGGACATTAAAACAACACCTTAATGCCTAACACAATAGCTAAGTTCATTTTTGCAGACTGAGTATTTTAAAGCTGTTGAGTTCAGCACCAGGCTGCCTTCCAGGTTTTCAGAGAAAATTAATTCCAGAGTAATTACTCAGGGCCAGCTCTGTGCCATGGATTGAGAGATGTGATGTGAAAGACTCCGGAAAAGCTCTTGAGTCTGATAGGGGCATCAAACCGACCTAGGATGGGTACAGCGCAAAATTTGACTAAAGGTCTGTGCGGGGTTTGGGCAGAGTCTGTGCAGGGGCCGGAGGGAACTGGTGAGGCTTTTGGGGTTTGGGTGACCTAGTAGTATTGGGGGGGGTGAGGTAGGGGTGTAGATCAGTACCCTAGCCGAGGAATGCCTTTATAAAGATGCATCAGGGATTGGAGAAAAACTGACTCTGACTTGCTGGAGGCCAGTGGGCTGGTTATTACACTTCCTCTAAGATTTTATTTCTCAAAATTGGTACTCCAAACCTGTTTTATACCTCTTTATATTTCAAGTTAAAGCGGCACAAAGGCTTAATGCGTGCTAGGGAAATATGACCTGTGTAATTTCCAGCTATTAGAGTTCTGATCTGTGGTCAAATAAGGGAAATGGTGGAAATGAAGTCATTTTTTGTGCATTTGAGTCAGGGACAGTACCATGCGTTTTACATTCACTTATTTAATTTTGATGACAACAATGTTACTACCCTCATTTTACAGACTGGGAAGATAGTCTTCAGGGAGATTAAATAATTTGCCCCATGTCACACTGGACTTCCTCGGCAATGCCTGCTAGTAGGTTCCTTCAACTCATAGGGGTAGTTTGGATTCCCTGCTCATTTCTTTCATGACACCTGTTCCATCTGAGTTTATTGGTAACTAAGCGTAATTAGGACCATCTACCTCAGAGAACCCAAAGAGTGAAAAATTTAAGAATGCTGCTGTTTGGTGTAATCTGTTTTTCACATGTTTCTCTTATTCTTGGTGGAAAGACCTGTTTCCATTCTCTACCCAACCCCAAGCTGTTGAAAACAATTTTACCTTCGTCTCTCAGTCTTATCCACAAAAAGTATTGTGAATGCAACAATATGAATAAATCTTAAACATCATGTTAGGCAAAAGAAGTCAGACACAAGAATACATATTGTATGATTTCATTTATATGAAATACAAACCAGGCAAAATTCACTTGTGCCGTTGGAAGTTAGGATAGCGATTACCATTGGGGAAGACAGGAAGTGCACAGATGGGAGGCCACAGGGGCTTATTAGGGTGCTGGTCATGCTGTTTATTGATCTGAGTGTGAGTTACATGGATGCCTGTGCAAATTCATCAAGCTCTACATTTATCTGCACCATTTGGTATTTATACTTTAATAAAAAGTGAAAAACAAAACAAAATAACCCACAAAATTAAAAAAAACGACTGACTATTGTGAATGCTTCCCAGGTAGGTATAGGGCATTGTGCTAAATGCTCTGAAGTGTATAAAAATAGAGATGAGGGGTTGCCAGGGGCTAGAGGGAGGAAAGCATGGGGAATAAGTGCTTGACAGGTACAGGGTTTTATTTTGGGGTGATGAAAATGTTTTGGAACTAGATAGAAGTAGTGGTTGTACAACATTGTGAATGTGCTAAATGCCCTGAATTGGTCATTTAAAAATGGTTAATTTTATGTTCTGTGAATATCATCTCAATTAAAAGATCAAATTGGCGGGTGCTTGGGTGGCTCATTCAGTTGGGCAGCTGACTCTTGGTTTCTGCTCAGGTCATGATCTTAGGGCTGGCGTCGGGCTCCACACTCAACAGGGAGTTTGTTGGCGATTCTCTTTCTTCCTCTCCTTCTGCCCCTCCTCCTGCTCGTTTGCTTGCACTCTCAAAAAAAAAAAAAAGATTTTATTTTTTTGAAATAGATTGAGACAGATTTTGACACAGGTTACACCAAACAGCAGCATTCTTAAATTTTTCACTCTTTTGGGACTTTAAAAAAAAAAATTTCATTTACTTATTAGAGAGAATGAGAGAGAGAGAGAGAGAGGAGAAGGGGGAGGGTAGAAGGAGAAGCAGACTCCTTGTGACGCGGGACTAGATCCTGGAACTCCAGGATTATGACCTGAGCCAAAGGCAGTTGCCCAACCAACTGAGACACCCAGGGGCCCTCAGATAATTTAAAATCTTAAAACAATAACAACCACCCTGATTTAAAAGAAAAGATAAAATTGGCTCACTGAATGCAATGTAGTATTCTGGAATGGCTCCTGGAACAAAAAAGGGCGTTAGCAGAAAACCTGGTGAAATACAAACAGTTTGGTATTTGGTGGGTTTTTTTCTCAGGTTTGACGAATGTACTGTGGTTACGTTAAGACATCAACATGAGGAAAAGCTAGGTGAATTGCACGGGAACTCTCTGCACTCTGCAACTTTTCTGAAAACTAAAATCGTTCCAAAGTAAAAAGTTCATTAAAGAAAAAAATGAGAAGCAAGGCCTAGTGCCACTAGAACAGGATCCTAGCTTTCCTAAGTTAGTGGTAAGATCTTGAGCCAAGTCACTTCTCCCTGATGAGCCTGTCTCTCATCAGCAACAATACGATTAGGCTCCAAAAGTAATTTCTTTTTAAGAAGATTTTATTTATTCATTTGAGCAAGTGAGAAGGAGTACATGTGCACAAGTTGGGGGAGGGGCGCAGGGAGGGGAAGCAGGCAGACTCCCCACCAAATGGGGAACCCCATACAGGGCTAGATCCCAGGACACTGAGATCATGATCTAAGCCAAAGTTGGGTGCTTAACCAACTGAGCCACCCAAGTGCCCCAGTAATTTTTTTTTTTTTTCGCTAAGTAATCTTTACACCCAACATGGGACTCAAACTTACATCAAGATCAAGAGTTGCATGCTTTGCTGAACCAGCCAGATGCTCCTGCAAACATAATTTTGCATGGGTAAAAATGGTAACCTTTCCACTCTCCGAATCCAGATCAGAATCTCTAGGCCTGAAGGGCTGTGGCTTATAAAAGATGATATTTTTGCCTTAACCTAGTAGGCAACCTTCAAAACTTCAGATACCACTATAGGAAAGATAAAGGTGCGCTTGGAAAAGACTGGTTGATAACCTCAGATTCTTCCCAGTTTTTTTGTTTGTTTGTTTGTTAAGAAGTCACTACACCCAACGTGGGGCTCAAACTTACTACCTCAAGGTCAAGACTCACAGGTTCCACCAATTGAACCAGCCAAGTACCTCCTAAATTTTGTAGTTTTAAGTCGTACTTCCCACTCTCAGGAAACATGGTTTTCTTAGGTAGACAAAGTTTGGGAAGACGTAAAGCCATATGGAGGGAGAGTTCTTTCGGGATTCATTGACAGGAAACTTAACAATGAAGTAGAAACAGACTGGAGTAGATGAGAAGGCAAGCCTCCTCAGACAGGTTTTGCATACCAGGTCTAAGTATGGGTTTAATGGGAAGCAGTGAGGGACTAGAATATAGCAAAGTTCCAGGAAGATCTGCGTGGCAAACGGTACACAGGGGAAGCTGGGGCAAGCAGAGATGTAGCAGGAAACAGCTCAAAGGAAGCCACAGGAGTCGAGATGGGACTTGAGAGCTTAGCTGAGTGGTGCTTATGGGAATTAAGAATGGATGTTTCTGTTGTGGAGAAGGGAAAAGCCACCAGATCTAATGACTATTGGGGTTGCAACTGTATGAAATGTTATTTATAAATTCATGATTTGAAAAAGTTTTGTAGATTAGAGGTAATACAGCATTGTAGTTGACATCGTGAAGGTAAAGGTAGTTCTCGTGACAGGATTCCAGAGTTCATACTTGAAAGCATTTAAACAGTACAGACACATAGTAGGTACTCAATAAACGTTGAGTCATAGAGCAACTAGTAACGCACAGAGTGCCCAGCAGAGCCACAGAAAGCTCTTGCTGTGTGTGAAGAGCGGCATCTGCTGGTTATCCAAGGCAACGCAGGATCCCAGATTTCCAAAGATCTGGCCCAGTCCACATTCTGAAAACTATATACGATGATCAGTGCATCCTCCCCAAACACCTACCATAAACAAGCAGGATGAAGCAGGAGTCATTACTTTTAACAAGAATTTTCTTTATTTGTACAAAGCATAATTTTCCTCAACATTCTTCACTCATTTGTCAACAAAGTTTTGACTGTATTCATTTAACAAATTAACAGTGTCAAACTACACACATTTGACTACCTGTCACCCTCCAAGCGCTCAACTTAGAGACAAACAAAAAAGTGCTCGGAGCACCAAATATCAAGAGAAAGAAAAAAAACAACTAGGAGAAAGGTCAACAGAATTACTTCAAAAGCAGTTAAACAGGATGGTTTTTTGCGGTGAGGATTAGATTCCTGAGCACCATCAGATTTCTGCACTTTGGGACGTTAAGCAGTTTATCAAAGTTCCTGGGTTGGCAGACGTGAGAAACGGAGGGAGAGAGATAGTGGGAACTGGGAACAGAGGAGAGGCAGAAGAGAGAAAAGGAGAAGCACAGAGGGAGAAAGTTGTGCCTAAAAGAAATAAAGTTTGAAACTTGTCATGAATTGGAAGAATGAAAAATGAGAGCCACAAGCCTGGGAAATGGACTACAAGAAGAGAAAGTCTGGAATTTTATACCTTCCAGGAGGTGACCATAAATCCTAAAGTCATACAGTGCTAGGCAGTGAGGTGCACCTAAGACTAAGCCATCTTTTGTTTTGTTTTGTTGTAAAAGTAAGATATTGGCACACTTGCTTGACTAATTCCATTCTACACGGCTGATTTAAAAGCGTATGTGCCCAGAGCACAGCCACCCCAGCAGGTCAAATGCCTATCAGGCAAGACAGAGGAGCCAAGTGGGTCTGGAGAAATAAAAATTCTATTAATGTTCCTGTCAAGTGAAGAGACAACAGATTTCATTCTTCCCCCGTAACCTTTTAGTAGTTTCCTAAAGCTAAACACATTCTGACCACTTTAATAAGCCAGTATTGCCAAATCTTGTACAATCAAAACAGGCTGAGCATGCTCAAAGCCCCAACTTTTTCTGAGCTTTGACTACCTCCGTGATCTGGGACACAGAAGGCGGCATGGAAGTCGTTACTCCTTTTTGGGGGGATGTTAGGAAGGGAACTGGGGATCAAAAACCGCCTAACCATATAAGTAAACAAAAGAGATCAAATTGACTAATCAAATTAGCCACTCAGAATCCCTCTTGCCAAAAGTCATTACCTTCAGATGGATTCGGCAAAATGGGATTCCGCTACTCTGATGGAAGCGCTGATTTTGATAATTTTAGTCAGTTTTTATTTTGATCTTCTCAGGCTCTTCTGGCTGAGATTACTCTTCCCAGCGGGGAAAAGCTTCTCACAGACGTACCACACTTCAGGGTGGTACCTTCCAAGGTGCCACAGTCTTCCCGTCCCATTAGTTGTCCACTTCCTCCTCTTCATTCTGTTCCTCTTCTTCCAGCCTTTCCTCGTCTTCCTCGTTGTCCTCATCCCTGCTCTTGTCTTGCTCCTCTGCATCTGTTTTCTTGTCTTTGTCCTTCTTCTTTTGCTCTGAAGCTTCCTTTTTGCCTTTCTGCTCTCTCCTATATGCTGTGAGGAGGAAGGTGGGGGTGAGGGGGCAGGGCTGAACCCAACAGACCACAGCAGCTAACGCCACCGAAAGGCTGGGGCAGAGAAGGGCACATAACCTGCTCAGCATCACAGATCAGCTCTGAGGCGGCACCACCTGAACGGATTGAGTCACATCCAGTACTTGCTTCCTGTTCTTACAGGGACGCAAGCTGAGAAGACTCAGGGCCAGGTGAGCAGGTCACAAAGGATGAACATCTTTTACTTGGCTCTACAAAGGAAAGGGTCATTACCTTCCAGAGCTTCTTTCAACGGGGTAACGAACCTCTGGAACTCCATCTCTTCCATGGCCGAGAGCACGTCACTGGCATTCAGGGTCTTGCGTTTCCCTTTCATCGCGAAGTTGTTGGCACTGGGAAAAAAAAAAAAAAGATGAAAGGCCGTTGGGGGCCTGTCAGACCCACTCTTGTCCCGTAAGGGGTAGGAAGGGGGCACCAGAGAACGCTCCGCACTGAGGTAGAGCACAACTGTCGGGGTTTGAGGGATTCCAGACCGGGGCGGGGGGTGGTCTCTGCGGCTCCCTTATGCCCCAGGCCCAGCTAAGCTCTGGCTCGCTCAGCCCGCCTCACCACGAAGTGGCGTACAGCACGAAGACGCTGGCGGCGCGGGAGATGGCGCTGCGGGCCTCCTTGGAGATGTTGACACCGTCCGGGAGCTGTGAAAAGAGCGTGGGTGAGTAAAGCTACCAGCCCAAGACCTGCTTCCCCAGCGGCCCGCCCGTCCGCCCCTGGCCCATCCGCCCCTGGCCCATCCGCCAGCTACAACTGCCCACCGCTTCCTTGATGATCCTGGTGATGACGGCATTGGGCAGGTTTAGGTCCTCGGGCCTCTCCGCCATTGCCGACGGAGCCGAGGCCCGCGCCTCCGTCTCAAGCCTCTTCCTCAGTCAGCCACGGCGTCCGGACTTCCCGCGTCGCCACAGTCTGACCCAAAGCGGCTTCCGTCCCGCCCCACGTCGCCCCCACTGTGTCCCATAGTGCACCGCGCGCCATAGCCGCCTTCTTCACCCAGCCCCGCCTCCGCCTCGAGTCGCCCTTGCATCCAAACTTTCCACGTCGCAACGGATTTGGCCTCCCGGGCTTCCGTCCGATCCCACCGGGACCCAGCGAGCGTCCCTTCCCAAGCTCGTTTTCTCCCTTTTTGCCTCCACCACGTCTGGAGACGTCGCATCAGCTCAAGTATGGCTCACTGGAGCTTCCGTCCCTTCCCCACAGTGCTCTGCGCCGCTGCCTGGCAACGACACTTGCCTGGCGGCTAGCTTGGGAGACGGAGGCGTGGACTGAGCGGCCGGGGCGGGGCTCCTTCCGACGTAGGGCGGGGGCGGGATCCCACCACCTCTTCTAAGTGGCCGGTGGCTGGGGTCTCGTTTTTCCGGTGGGTTTGGGCTTTACGGCTGTTTGGCTCCGACCTTGCTGGCGCTGCGCGCCGAGGCCGAACTCTTTCACTTCAGGCTTCTGGAACGAAGCGGGTATATTTTTTCAGTTCTGCGGGAACTGACGTCCATCTTTAATCCTTTCACACCTCCCAGCTTCGTAATAGTCGCATTAAGGATAATTGTCGCCTAGAATGGTTAATGCAAACTCCTTTGCCAGTACAGCGCTAATGCTGGTGACAGGAATGGGCATGACTAGACCTCGGGCCTCAGTTCGGGATGGTCAGGTAGCGAAAGGGCAGCAAGCAGCCGGTTGTAAGGATAACGCGACATTGCATTCCATTAAAAAGCAAACCCTGTTAAAATTGTTTTTTTAGTTCGTTGACTTAATGCATCATATATCTTAGTCAAAAGCATTAGCATGGTTTTGCAGTGGCTTTGGAGTTGTATCATTTTTGTGTATGTGGGTAGAAATTGTCCTTAACCCCACTGAGCATGAATGCTTTTTTTCTTGAAACATGCTGTCTTGTGTAACCCTTAACTTTCCTGCTTTTTATTTTTATTATTTAAGATTTTTATTTATTTATTTGACAGAGAGACACACACACACACGCACACACACAAAGGGAACACAAGCAGGCAGAGTGGGAGAGGGAGAAGCAGGCTTCCTGTGGAGCAGGGAGCCCCACGTGGCGCTGCATTCCAGGACTGTGGGCTCATGACCCGAGCCACTCAGGCGCCCGTTTCCTGCCTTTTTTTTTTTTTTTTTTTTTTTTTTTTTTTTTTTTTTTT